CATATTGGTGCGGAGACGAAGACAATGTTTCATAATTATGCACCCCAGGTTTAAGTAAGTTTCCATATAAATGAATTCATTTCTAATAAACCTATATATATTGCAGACCTCATGACTTAAACTATATCCCTTTTGTACGAGCGTTCATTTGCTTAATCGATGTTCATAATGTTCTTACCCTAGCCTGTAATTTCGAATGAAAACATTTCTGTACAATTAAAAGTAAAGGCAACAATAGTTTACCGCTGTACAAAAGTCATAAATCGATTTAGAGAAAACAAATCCGGGTTACAAACTAAAACCGAGGGAAACACATCAACTATAAGAGGAAAACAACGGAACAAAAGAAACACTAAACTGCAACAAAAACAAACGCCAACATACATAGAAACGGACTATTTGATAACAACTGCCATATTCCTGACTTGGTACAGACATTTTAAGAAAAAAACGGTGGGTTAAACCTGGTTTTATGGCTAGCCAAACCTCCCGCTTATATGGCAATGTTAAAAAAATACCGCTAAAATGACAACACTACGTGAAGGAATACAGTACAAACAAACGAAAGAACACTCAGCACAGAGAAATGCATAAATAAATAAAATAAAAGCACATTACAACATGTAAACCGCAGAATAACAACGGACATCTCCCATTAACGACATTACAGGACACCACAAACAGTGACGTACTTTTGTGACGTACATGTATATATAATCTTGAAATACATACAATTATATGGAACGAGATCCAACAATTCACAATTATTTTCACAATACTAGTCCAAATGATTATCATGATTATGACGGTCTTTAAAGGCTATTTTAAATTTATGCTGTGACGATCATAGTTATTTGGTAAGGTTATTTCTTTTTTGTCTTACATTTCATTTGCAAAATGATTGAAAGTTTATTCAAATCGTTTATGCGAGTAGATATATAACTTTGATCGGAAGTGGCGTACAACTCTCCGAAGTAAAAGGTGGTTTTTATCCTTTTTTATATGACCTTTTTATTGAATTTGAATACACTTGAGAAATACATTTGTTTGACAAATACACAAATAACGGCCAGGATGCCAAGCTTTTATTGAACAACGCAACAGTCTAGAGATTCCGAAGTTGACGTATATGCCCAATTACCATTGTTTTGCGTGGTATTGTTATTGGTATTCGATGGTGTAACTATCGACATAGTAATCATAGCTGCATTATTCCTCGTGCTGTTGCGTCCTCTTTTAATACTGTTCATGGGATCTATATAGAATTTATTGATCCATGACGTTTGATAAACCATGAATTTATTAACCGATACTTCAACTGACCCAACAAAGACTGTATATGTTGCAGGAAATGAAGTTTCGGTTGAATCCACCTCAAAGAATCTATTGGTGTATTTTACATCTTTGCACAATTCCTCTGAATGAAAAATGCATTTCCCTTCTAGTTTGTCAGGAGATAGTAAACAACACAGTTTTATAAGTTCCTGTTCTTCATGCTTTAATAGCAAATGAAATATTTTGTAATCTTTTAATCTCTGAATTCCATACTCTGTTGCGTCTAGTTGCAACACAACACACATTGAATATAAATAATACATTAGTTTAGCGATATCATCATCCGGTATGGTCGTATCGGAAGTAGTATCGGTCAATTTTAGCTCCCGTCGATTAAAAGCTACAGCCATTTTGTTTGACAACCCGTGCAATATTTTCACCTGCTTTCAAAATTTACACTTAACATTTTATGGAGATCATTTTTATTAATATAGTAAAGCCTATGACTTAGTGTACCTACATTAAAAAAAAACGATGTTGTTTAGATAAGTAAAAACTAAATTACAATAATGAAAGTGTTCAGTACGTCATTCACTATTTAAATCGATTTATGGTCCAGAGAAATACTACAGTATTTCGACTAAATCGTTAAAATATATATCGACAAGAACTCTATTTCTATCCAATCAATTCTTTAGATAATTATCTTTCGCTGACCTACATTTAAAACTCACTGACAGATATATTTATTTAAATGACTGCCTGTCATAAAAAAAATAATTAACATTTAATAGACTGTTACAAAAGTACAGTAGATTTACTTAAAATGTCAAGAAGATAGGGTAGCATTTATTGAATTTCCAGTCCAATGTCTATTTATTTAATTAACTTTAATAGCAGGAATTTGGTTACAATTTTTCAATCAATCATAACTTTGAAGTAAAACCAACTGAGTTACTTTGAAAATTTGAATCAACACTTTCCTAATCTTTTTTTTTTATTTACTTCTTTTTTTTTTCTTTTTTTTTTTTGGTATATTGAATAGCAATTATTTGTCCGTCAAATGACACCAATCATAATATTTTCCTACCTAATGGCAAGATAGTGTTTGGTCGAACAGTCAAGTCAAATTCATACAGTATGTTGCAAGGCCAAAACGGCAACAATAGCCGGTAGTTATATGATTTAAATGAATATAAACATATAGCTTTGTTTGGAAAAATCTTTCGGAATTTTTGGTCTTCAATGCTTCAACTTCGTACTTTATTTGGCATTTTTTTTTATTCAAGCGTCACTGAGGAGTCTTTTGTAGACAAAACGCGCGTCTGGCGAATACAGTTATAATCTTGTTACATTGTATCTATGATGAGTTTATATATATATATAATTTGAATGGATATAGACATATCTTCAGTTATTAGTAGACATGTTGGAGCTAGAAAACAGCAAACGTTTGCAATACTCTGGTACACTAGAGCACTGCTTTAGCATTTTATTTATAGTCTTTTAGAAGTTATTACATCAGTCGACTATCTTCATAGCGTTGTTCGGGAATTCTGTGAGTTAATTAGTAGGCATGTTTTTGGTGACTTCTCCTATACGGAAAGCTGTTTTGGCGTATCTTGGATTGAGATACGTAAAACGATAGACAGACATAGTTTGTATGTTATTACCTTTGAGTTTCAAGTTGTCGAAAGTAAATGAAAACATTCGATTTTTCAAAGATTGAAAAACTTTTATTTTCAATTTTCACCAACAAAAATCAGTAATTTGATAATTGAAATGTGGCATTATATTGTAATAGAAAATTGTTAGTGCAACATGTCTTCGCTCCGACATATTATTAACACAACCAAATGTTGGCTTTAAAATTGACTGAGTTCTATTTTTTTCTTTATTTTCATTGTTCTTTAATTAAATTATCCTAATAATCATAAAGGTAGAAAAAAAACGACATAATATGCATTTGTTTAATATCAGAAAAATGACGTGAAGTGAAAAACGAATTCCGAGTAATTGCAATAATGGGAAGACCAGAAACATCTAACCTTAATTGAACATTAATTCCGATTTGACCGTTTCAAATATATTCTACCTCCTTTGAGGTGACTCGCGATAGGCAACCATACAAAGAGTACGTTTTAATCCGTGTAAACTAATGACTCCCTTTAATATTCTTATTCTCAAAGGTTATCTTTTTAACACTATAATGAGATCTTTTTATATTTGGTTTATAGGTACAACTATTGATTTTGTTATCAAACAAATTAAAATCTACCATACAATACTAAATATTATTGCCATATACAACTGTACATATGTACATTCATGGTTCTACATTCTGTCGATACGTACTGGTATATTTTAGCATTGCATATGATCATGTTTTTTTTTATCTGACTGTGTACGATGTCTATACACTAAATCCATTGGATGTGTAATGATTTTTTTTTTTTGGTTTTAGATACATGATTTTTAAATTTGCTATTAGCTTTGAACTAACTTTCAGTAACTGTGAGAATAGATATGTACTTTGTGTCAAAGTTGTTTTTGTGTGTTTTTGTCGATCTGACGAGTCGAGCCTTTTTCAGCTGTTATTTTTTTATATGGTTTATTTTTATGTTGAGCTGTTACACCACTGTCCCAGGTTAAAGGAGGATTCGGCGCCCGCAAAAATGCTTCATATAAACCCTGCCACATTCTGTATGGGCCGTTCGTTTCCTCATTTGAATTGTTTTACATTTGTCTTGTGGTGCTTTTTATAGTTTGCTATACGGTATGGGTTTTGCTCATTGTTCAATGTCGTACGTACGGTGACCTGTAGTTGACTCATTTTGGTCTCTGGGGAAAATTGCAATCATACCACGTTTTTTTATTTTTACATTTTTCATACAAAAAGTGAAAAAAAACGCAGATTTTCTCCCACAGCTTTCGAGTTCTAAAATAAACTAGTGGAATTTGACAGAACGGACAGTTAATCTACTGTCATGATACCTTATTATAGTAAACCTTTATAAGATTTGATTCAAGTTTATAATATTGCCGATGCATAGAAATATCCCAACAGACACACAATCGAGCACAACAATAGCAGTATCTCGAAATATAACCAAAATAATTACTTTAAAAAAAAACACACCAAAAACCAAAAGGAACTCTTTGGTATAGTTTGAATACACAATAAAAAAAAAGAAACGTTTGCTGTTCATTCTAACGTGGCCTACGCAAATAATTAAGTTTACTTTCAACAATATAACCACGTCTGTGCAAAATTGTGTACGATATTATTTATTGATTGATGGATGAGAATGTTATACATTGACTAACAATTTATAATACATGTAAAGTATTAAAAGGTTAGAATTAGTCATTTAAAAAAAATTTAAGTTGGAAACACATTTTAAATCATTATATATAATATCTATTATATAATTAAGTTCATTCAAAGTATGGAATAGTATATATATTCTTCGGACTTTATGAGTATTTGGACAATACGCGTATGATCATGAGTATATGAATATATACTTATATGGTCCGACCAAGGATTTGTATAGTAAGAATCCTTGGTCCGACCATACGCGTATGGTCCCGGTAATTAACACGATAACGGTTGAAATGTTAATTCAAATATGTACACAGTAAGACTTACTACAAGTCTTACTGTATAAATCCTTGGGTTGACGTTTAATACTGTAATATAAATTACGATTTGACATAAAAAAAAAGGTTGTAAATATTTGTTAATCTTTAATATTGGAAGAATATATAACAATTTTAAAATATTTTAATTATGCGCGCCATGATACGGGAATACTTATTTTCATGATTAATTGAATCAATAAAGTGACGATGGATAACCCAGTGAGTTAAATTTACAAGTTAAAAGTATACTGAACATATTTATCTATGGTTGATTTGTCCTGACGAATGAATTAAGAAGACAGTTTCAAGAAATACCTGAATAATCATTATATATTAAACAAAATAGTCAAACGTTACAATAGACATTTTACAAATCTCAATATGTTAATGATCCGTACATGTACATAATGCTTTCCATGACATGAAATGATAAACATCAATATGATATAGTAAATAAACTAAGAAAAAAACGTCTGAAGGCACATAAAAATAACACAAACTTAAACAATTGTCCTTTTCAATCAAAGGTTTGCTTTTAAAAATGTGAATATCTAATTATTTAATGAATAGTTTTGCGTTTAAAATGTTCAATGCAAAGATTCTTCTTTTAATTTTGCATACATTTTGATTTCTTTGCGAACTTACACGCACCGACGTTGTCTATAAAATTGCATCGTTTTCTATTCTTTTTACAAATACTGTGAAACAATAATTTCCTTGGTATGTTTTATCCAAAGAAAAGGGATGCTCGACCATCTCTAACTTTTGATCTGCTTGTTATTTTTCTATTGCTTTTCCATGATTCTCCTATCAGCTTAACTGCTTTCTCCTAAATCAAAAAAACAACAATACATACAATATAACCCGATAATTGTTTTAGCCTGAACACCTTTCTCTCTCTCGTTTTGTAGGCCTCCGTGCATGAATGCAGCCATCGTATAGCAGTATGGTTCGATGCCAACATTTTTTCAATAAATCAGAACCAGATAGGTTTACTGCACCCATGTTCTATCAAAACGTTGTACTTCAGTTTTTGATCATAAACAGTGGTGTGCAAATTTAAAGACAAGTCAGAACATAAGTCATTAATGACAATTCGTAAAACGTTTTATTCAATTATTAGTAAGAACGTTATTAAATTACTTCTTCTCTTTCACTTATTTTTACGTTTTTGTATTTTCTGTCAAACTTTCAATTTAAGAAAGGAATAAATGTTTCCCTTTTTATTCTTATTTCCCTTTTTAAGATATCGGCAGTCATAATGGAATAATTATATTAATTTATTTGATCGGAAACGTATGTGGATTCTGAGAAAAAGTAGCACTTCTGATTGCTATTGAAAAACGGATAGGGTAAAACACCTTTCAGAGTTCAACTAATACAGCTACTTCGAGGAATTATTGTTCGAATTATTCATTTCTTTTTTTCATTTGATTTATACTTGTCGTTGCCAATAATATCGGAGTTCACACTCAAAGCTACGCTTTTCGTGCATTAAATACGTTAATTCTAAAGGCGATCTAAATATATAACACTTGTATTATGCCTTTCATTACGTTAAAGTTACCTGGTATTCCTTTTCTTGTTGCTGTACCTTGCTTCTTCTCCAGAAATACTGAAGGGTAATGTAAAAATACACTGTAGTTAATTTACAAGGAGATATGTCATTATACCTTTAATCATAGAAGGCAGAAACAAGGGAAAACTAAAAAAAAGTAATATTCTATTTTAATAAAAGTTTAATTTTGATACTGGTGTCTTTTTTCAGATTCAGAGGCTTTTCTTAGGAAATCACTGGAAGTTGAAAAAGAAAAGTCCCATGATTTAATATATTCCATCAAAACAATGATACTTCGGATCCATTCAAAATAGTTTACACGAGTATATTCAAGTAGTTTCTTATTGCGTTATTAACTACTATCCCCGAATATCCGAAAGTGTTTATGTTCCTACACGAAAAGAAATGTCATTCCGTTTTTTTTTTAAATAGATTAACGACAAAATAATCAAACAAAGAAACAACAACAAATGAAATAAAAACAATAGCAACTGGTGGGTTACAAATGAATATCAATTTTCAGGAAGCTTTGTATAAATACAAATGAGAGGTTCTGGATTCGGTTTACAGAACGGAGGATAATGGACAATAATCAGAGAATAGTGGGCCATACTAATAAAGAATAGAGAAAATACGACCAAAATAAAGAACGCAGAATAATAGAGCTCTAAGGTATAAAGAATAGAGAATAATTTGACAAAATATAAAAGGAATGGAGAAAAATGGCAAAAACAAAAACATACAGAAATGAAGACCATTCTAGTCTAGAACTTATTATAATTCTTTACCACTTCTTGACATAAAGTTTTAAGTATTATCTGAGTCAGAAGAATTTTCAAATGCACTTAATGGTACTTCCAACTGATTTTTACAGTTGTGTTCTCATGTTTTAACATAACACCATTGTCCCATGTTACAGGGAGAGTTGAGCGCTAACAAACTCTACCACGTTTTGTTAGAACTTGGTCTGTAATTTGGTGGTACACTTCCGACGACTATCATGAAGTATATATTATCATGGAGTTTGTACTCACACTTCCGACGACTATCATAAAGTATATATTATCATGTAGTTTGTACTTACACTTCCGACGACTATCATAAAGTATATATTATCATATAGTTTGTATTTACACTTCCGACGACTATCATAAAGTATATATTATCATGTAGTTTGTACTTACACTTCCGACGACTATCATGCAGTATATATTATCATGTAGTTTGTACCTACACTTTCGACGACTATCATGAAGTATATATTATCATATAGTTTGTACTTACACTTCCCACGACTATCATGAAGTATATATTATCATGTAGTTTATACCTACACTTCCTACGACTATCAGGCTTCAGACCACAATTAATTCCCTTTCCCAATTATTATATGGGGTATTTCTTCATAAGCATTCTGTCTACTGTTTTCTTTGAAATGTTTACCATGTAAGTGGTCATATCAGTTGCATATATATTGAAATAAGTAAAACATGTGGAAAAAATTTATTGTTGAAAGTGAAAGTAGTGATTTAGTCAAAATGAAAGTAGGGTAGAAATTAGCCTTCGTCATTTATTCAAGATTCAAATCCTACAATTGGCATGTTAATAGGGCTCTCAAAAGAAAAAAGCACTGATGGATTGTCCTGGGACAAGCATATTTGATTAGAATAATAATGGTCTTTAAGCAGTTAAATTTATTTCATGTTTGAAGCGGTGCAAATTTTTTAATTCAATTTGACTTTTACCAAAAAATGCATTGTAGCAAAGGGGAAGAATAATTGTGGTCTGAGGCCATCAAGAAGTATATATTATCATGTAGTTTATACTAACACTTCCCACGCCTATCATGAAGTTTATATTATCATGTAGTTTATACTTACACTTCCGACGACTTTCATGAAGTATTTTATTATCATGTAGTTTATACTTACACTTCCCACGACTATCATCAAGTATATATACTCATGTAGTTTATACTTACACTTCCGACGACTATCATGAAGTATATCAATTGGAAGACGCTGTATATAATTATAAAGATAATAAATGCCCAATAGTCCATTGAATCTTGGTCTGAGTTGTCATTAAAACGGGTTATAACCGCGTGCCATATACTGATGCAAAAGTTGAATATCATGCAAAATAATATGTACACATCCTTAAAAACAACATAAAACAGAAAATATGTTCACATCTTACAAACAACAATAATATATGCAAATACTTAAATAATACGTTCTTAACTCTTATATTTAGAAATAGTTTTCCTGACTTTGAACTTTATTTTCAGTCAAAGACTAGAAAAGTTTCCAAATCTTCATCGTGTAGCTATCAGTAGTGATATATTAAGGGCATACGATATAGTTACGGGGAGGTGATGATGTCGCTAACGTAAAATGTTATTTTTCGCGACGTCAAACTGTGACATATCGAGAAAAGAAGCATTTTTCGACTGATTTTTATCATACAGACTGAGTTAACTTGAAAACGGGTTCATGGACCCCCTCTTTTTAAAAATGATATTAATCTTGACTATGTATGAAGATTATTTGTGCCACATTTTATGAACAAATCACCGATGAAATTTTTTTGAATTAGATAAATATACAGCTTAAAATACCGTTTTTTGACTAAAATAATGAAAAAATGATAAACATTAATTATTTCCAAAGAATTGTTACACAAACTCAAAACACACTTATGTAGAGAAGATATTCCAGATGTTTTTACAAAACTTCGCTTGCGTTTATCTTTTGAAACAAAAAAGTTAAGGTGTGTCTTTCCATTGGATAAAAATTTCCAAGAAACCGAAATGTCCAGTGAATGTCTAAAATTTCGACCTTATTTATCTCTAAAAGTAGCACATGAAGGTATATTTTTTACTACATATTTGAGTTGCCTATGTGAAAAATAGCTTGATTGCAAACTTTCGTAAAAAAATCACCGTGGGATCAAAACTGTATCGTATGCCCTTAAGCGATCTGATACATGTATGTTGCATACTATTGAAATATTCAAAACCTATCTTTAGAACTGAATAAAAAGTTCAGGCAAATTCCTCGTTTGCCTTTAAAAGTTTTCGTTTGGTGAAAAGTGTAATTTTGATCTCAATGTTTATACTTTTTTTTTCATTTTTTTCCCTCTTTTTTTATATTTTGAAATAACACCCTATTTAAGTTTTCACAGCTTTTACTTATAACTGTGATAAGAAACGGATATCGAAATAAAAACTAGACTACCCATATATGTTTACATTCATGTGTTATATAGTATTCGACGTTGGACATCAAATGTACATGTAACTCATAACTTTTGAAATTTTAGGTCCTCAATTCTCTTCAACTTCGTACTTTGTTTGGCCGTTTAACTTTTTTGATTCGAGCATCACTGATGAGTCTTTTGTAGACAAAGCCAGCGTCTGGCGTACACAATTTTCGGCTGGTATCTATGATGAGTTTATAAACAACACATGGGTACCCTGATTGTGGAGGCGTTCCTATATAATGCTCAATGTTTAATTTTCTATATGTGAATTCATTTTGGTTGTATTTTTCAAGCAGTGGTGTTTTCTGCCATTTTTAGACGAATTTTGATTGTCCAATTTGATATCTTCTCTCGTTTATTTTAACATTCATCACCAATTGTTTATATACAGTCATTCTTAAACCATACACTTGTTCAAAGACAGTTACATATATAAAAACAATTACTTACCAATTTAGTAAGATACGATATCTTAGGTAAACTCTGATTGGTCACAAATCTGAAGGTAACGCCCGTCAATGTTAATGTAAACCCTAGCTGTAATCTGTTCTGTGGTTTAGTGTTATCGACAGCAAATGTTGTAAATGATAACAAGCTGATGATGGTCTGTAAAATAAAAAAAAAAGCCAGAGAGACTTTGATTAAGAGATTATGTTGTCCGCCATTTTTTATAAGAATACATCCTTTATGTTTGACATATAATGCAATTTTCATATTACAGGTAGTTCTCATTGCCTAACTACAACTGAGTACATGTATATCTAACATATGTCATAAAAATAGTTTATATGATATGTTATTATTGAACAGATTGCAGAACAATCACAGGCGGATCAAGGATTGGAGGAAAAGGGGGGCGTAAAGGGCCATAACGATAAAGGTATCACCGAATTTTTGACGTTTTTTTAAGCGAAATATATTACACTCGCTTCTCCCTGATCTTACCCTCCTGAACCCGCCACTGACTATTTGCTTTATTTATTTGCACAGAAAGTCAAGAACAACACTCCCTGGATAAATCACTGTCACTCACTGACGTTTCTGAATTCTTTTGATATTTATTTTTCTGTTGAACAAATACAAGGAATTTCTAGACGTCTGATCAGTTCGTCATTTCTGTGGTTTGGTTGCTATCTCATTGACGTATACATTATATTTCATATTATTCATACAAAAAATTATCTGATATTCTCCTCTGTATTCAATAACCAGAAACAAAATCCGAAAGTTTGATGTTCTCTCCGGCTATTCCGGCTTCCTGCATCAATGAAAGCTGGTCCCCATTGTATAGTCAAGTGTGCTGAAAGTGTCCTTAAACACCAATAATTATTAAATCAATCTCTATTCGGTAAACCTGATCGAGACCCTCATAACTGAATCCTATATATGAACACTTTCAAAAGGAAGTGTAAGAAGATAGAAGACTAGAGCACGAAATAAAATACATACTGTAACAGCTTTACTTTCTTAGTTATTGATATAAATGAACCAAGAAATTCGCCTTAACCCCTCTGTGTTTAAGGAAAGTTGCAAAATCTTTGGCAATCAGATATAAAATCAAGAAAAAAAGAATGTAGCAACGTTTGTGCGGATATGGTACAATGAGACCGCGGAAAGTAAGAGACGGGAAACGGGAAGAAAAGATAGGAGAATGAAAATGAAAGGAAGGAGGAATGATAAATAAATATACAAGAAGAAAAGGACGTTTTTTTTTCAATTATATTTCCAAGATACCTGCTTACATTACTTAACTTACCATTATAATTAGTATATTCCATACGAAGAAACCAAATTGTCTGACAGCTAAAGTTTTCACTGTCAATAACGGAAATGATATATTTTTAGTTTCGGAGAATTCTTTTGTCATCTGTTTAGCTTCTGTTACAACAAAGTCTTTTAGTTCCCATTCTTGAACATCCACAAAACATGATACGTTCATCGAGCTAAGCTCTTGTTCGTCCTCTAATATTTCAAGCTCTTGGATAGGATGTTCTGATGTAATTACTACACTTATATCCTGAAATATAAATCAAGAATATGGTTATGTATTCAAATAAAAAAAAAATCATAAATAGAGTTCGCATTTTTTATCCATATACAAAAATCTCAACAAAGATATAAAACGACTGATATGTGATAGTGTGCCTCAATAAAAAAAATCAAAAGATTTGGAGATATACACATGTATTCCGGCCATGTGTATTATTGGATTGTTTTTGAATAAGGCAGACGCATTAAATGATATAAACCTCTTTTCGTTGTTGAGTGCATGTAAATATTATCTTCCTTTTCAAATATATACATTGGGTTTTACTCATTGTTGAAGGCAGTACGGTGACCTATAATAGTTGTTAATTTCTGTGTCGTTTGGTCTCTTGTGGAGAGTTGTGTGGATTTGTGTGTGTGTGCCGGGGGATGGGGGTTAAAGAAATCTCTTCGATGTAATATATATAGGAATGTTATTAATAGTTCAGTGATTAAAGGGAACGACCAGTGTCTGCTATAAAAACGAATACTTTTGATTGTGTTTTTCGTAACGTAACAGATTAGTTCGACTTCGACAAAGTTTAAAGGTTAAAAAGTCTATTTATTTAAAATATATCTCCAGACAAACAGAATAAGATTGTCAATTATTAATTTAAAGTCCCATTTATATCAAATATACATTGTTGTAATACAAATACATTTTGTTTAATGTGAATTTAATTTAGAAGAAATTTTCAAATCCGATATTGAGATAAAACAATGAATTGCGATAGTGATCTCTTAAACAATAATAGAGATCAAAGCCAAGACGATGTTAATGAGTCCACCAATAATATCATGCACTGCATGTATGTTATTTGTTTTATCGGTTTTGATCACGGCAAACATTTGTAATAGTCAGCATGCAATTATTCGCAGGTGGTTTATAGAGGTTACAGTTTAGTAACAGTTTTTAACCTGTTTCAAATTCGTACGAAATTCAATGTTAAATTTAACAAATATTGCAATATTTGAAACCGTGGTGGATGTTCGTTTCTTTCTTGGTGACGAGGTCCGAAAAGATATACATACCTGAAAATCGAACGGAAAGTTTCTTAGTTCCAGCATTTCCGCAAAAGAACCTTTGATCCTTCTCTTTTCAACAATAAACGCCTCTCCTCCTTTACCAAAGTTAAGTTCTTTCCATGATGATTGTTTAGGACTACCAAGGACATTCTGCACTACTAACTTAGGGCTCCAATACTGATCTAACTTCAAATTATCAGAAACCTGTAAAACAGCATAACTATTGCAATTTCTGACCATGAAATTATAAAAAAGAACTAAAAAGTATACCAAAAGTACAAAACTCCAAGGTAAATTAAAAAAAAAGATTGATTTATTGATTTATTGATTGCCGTCTGCCTAATGTCCAGTGGAAAATACTGCATATTCGGGACGAGAACAAAATACGATTAAAGAAATAAGAGGTTTCTGAAAAGAAAATTGGATATATTGTTTTTTCTTTGAAATAACAAAAAACTTAATTAACAAATAACATCAAATACAGTTTTTTGTCATTCTCCCCTAATTTGAGCGTCGTGTTTGCAGTGCCGTATCACGTCATTTAGCCTTTTTTGTAGAGTGAAATCTTTATAACGTAAATAAATATGAATAAAAGGATAGTTTGTATACACTTGCCTAGTATTTGGTGTTATATCATAATCCCTATACATGTTATGTTATTTGTGTCGTCGGGCAGCTGTGTCATTAACACAAATCAACATTTCAATTGTTGTTAACTTTTTACATATGCTGGACGGGATCATGTAAACTTGCACATCAAACTAATATTGTATTCTATGCATCAGACATACTTTGTGGAATGAATTACTCACACACTAGATCTATATAACATTGTCAGAAATAGGCTGAAAGAGTGATGTATCTCATTTAGGAGATAATTGTATTGTATTTTAAGCTACAACGGCATTAATTGGTGATTTGATGGTCGCAAATTAAGATTACTGGCGACGCGAGCTTAAAATACAATATTGTTATCTCCATTACAATTAAACTGACAGAAAACAACGTCAAATCTTACATTTACAATCTGTCATACGTCGTCTGCGCTTGCGCGTACCTTTTCATAGCACCAATTGTGAATTGATGCCATGAAAATTAGTGACGTTATCCAATCAAAATGAACGTTACAAACGATGTTGCATTAGAATTGTGAATTGATGCCATGAAGATTGGTGACGTTATCCAATCAAAATGAACCTTACAAACGATGTTGCATTAGGATTGTGAATTGATGCCATGAAGATTGGTGACGTTATCCAATCAAAATGAACGTTACAAACGATGTTGCATTAGAATTTTTAATAGACCATGCTAATATCTTTCTTTCTTTCGACAATACCTCGATTTTATGTAACGATGATAAATGGGAAGTAGAAGGTCAAATTTATGCTTTATGCTACTATATTTTTGGAAAAAGAAATATTGATGAACTGAAAAACACGAAGAACCAACATGAAGACCTACGTCATCTTAGAAATAAGAGCTATGCAATTGAGTAACACTTCTTAATCTAATATAATATTTTTCATTGCAAAAACAATGTATTTGCATCAAACTATTCTGCTTGTACTAATACTATATTTTGTTAATGTACCACATTAAAAGTTTATAATATTTACATCCCAGAACGATTGGTCAGTGCTTTAGACCCAAGGACAATTGCAAATATTACATACAAATAAAAGACGATCTATACGTCAGTGTGACAGTAACCAAACTGCACAAATAATGAAAAGACTTCAAGAGGTGCATAGTATTCAGGAAGTGATAAATTATATAAAGAAAATCTAAAAAAAAATAGAGAACTTAAAATGGAAGTAGAAGATACTTTAGTTATTATTGTCATATACCTTGCTATGATCCAAACTTGGTTCCCGCCATCTTGCTTTGATAAAGACGTCTGCTGAGAACTGCTCTTTGACTGTTTCGATGTTACTAATTTTGAGAAAAGTTACCTTTATGAAAACGCTTTTCTGGAAAAACAATATTGTTTCATACATATAATAATTATTTGACAATTTGAAAGGGAAAAACATGCTCTTAAATTATGATAGTATGATAATTGACAATTTGTTTTTTTTTTGACAGCGCATGATAATTTTCTAATATAGGGCAGCATACTTGATGAAATTAATTGTTCAATGTGAAGTTTTGATAAAAATGAGCAAATTGAATAAATAATACTGATAAGTGCCATCTGGAATAATAAGTGCATTGCATACATGTGCATGTATGTACTTAGGATGCATCCATTTAGTACAAAAACTAATCATATATTTATAAAAAGTTTGTTAGCAAAGTTTATGTTTTTAAACATTGTTTCGTTAAGATGAAGGAACATTAAATTATAATGCTGTAAACTAAACCATAACGAACAAAAGTTAAAATTTGCGAGAGAATGTAGGTTTTCAAATATCCAATAACAAAGGAGTAGGTTCAACTGGTAAGACCCCTTTTTGGCCCCAAAATATAGCAGTTTTAAAAAATTGTTAAAATGTAAACTTTTAGCTATTCATTGGAAAGTAGAATACTTCTGTTACATACATATGGGCTGTTTTTGATAATACAATGCATATTTATCGGGTACTAGCATCATTAAGTCATGCTAAATTACTGAAATCTTCATAATTTTAGCATTTGAGTTAATTTTTAGACGGTTTCCGTCTTAAATGGACGTGGCCGCATTTGTGTTCATTCTTAATATTTAAATATAAGTTGTATTTGATGATAATACATAGCATATATAAAGGTTGAGGATGAACACGGATGCGGCCACTTTCATTTTTGACAAAAACCATCTGAAAAGTGACATATTATGGCATATTTGATAGATTAATAACTTGAATATGAGCGTCTTTAATGACTAAATCAGTTCAAATCTTTCACATAAATAAATTGATTCTACTAAAGTAGACACTTAAGTGTTTAAAAAGTGTCCAAAATCTTTCATCAGATGAACCTGAAATTTGGGGCCAAAATCGGCCCTTACCGGACCTACTCCTTTACTAGTTGCAAAACCAAGCTTTTTACAGAGTCGATAATATATTTATTTATCGGCAATTTGTACATTTTCCCTTTGATCTTACTGCGTAATATTTTTTAAAGATCATGGACAGGACTTGCTAATCGAAAATATTACGCAATGACGTCATTTATCAGTGCAGCAACGTCACGTGGTCAAGACCATCCGCACCAATTCATCAATGAAATGCACGCGACTTCATTCAGTTGGAAAGCAAGTCCTTGGAAACGTCCGTTGTCGTCAAGCTCTATCAGCAACAATAGCAGGGGGAATTAATTAGGTGGGCTACAGTCATCCGTGACGTCAAAAAGTCCGCCAAATCAATCGGCTAAAAGATTGACGTTTAAAGTATTTATTTCAACTTGTCATGCTTTTATTATAATTGAATTTTAAAATTTGTAGGTTCTGCGACCAATATAGATTCAATACGTCATACAAACATGATCACAAATAGCTTGTTATTGCTATTTCTTTATCCTGTCCGTTCTAAAAAAATTCAGCCATCTTTTTTGTTCGCCAAAAACATCGATTTTTCATAACTTGACGTTTGCGTATCCACATACGGAAGAGAACGGTAATAATCTTAAATGAAACCGGGTAAACTATTTCAAATTTCTACACAATTTTGAAGCCATCATTTTTTACTATTATACATCAATTTTGGTGACCACCAGTTATGTCAAATTGTACCTGGTTTTGGCTGCGTTTCTACTTCAAAACAGTAAAGTTCAACTTCTTTTTATTGTACATGTACCTGTTTCCAAAGTACTCTGAAATACTGATTTTATTATAGATATGAATGAAAGTGTGATTAAAAATTGTTGTTTTTCACAATTCCACACGATACCTCCATTTTAAAGTAATGAAAACCCTTTTTGATCCCCTACACAAATTGACGGTGACATTGTTTTCTTTTTCAACATACGTCAAATAACGTTTACAAAATATGTGTCAGGGTCATATGCACATAGTTAAAATTTACACATTGGACAAGTGAAACAACAAACAAAGTTCTTCTTTATAGCGTTTGAAACTATAGGTCTAAGAAAATTTCATTTATGCTGGAAGCAAATATGACAAATTAGTGATGGCCTATGGATAAACAAAAGCACAAAAATAGCAATAGAAATTGCATTGCAACGAAAATTTCTGGAGGAAAAAAACATGAAAAAAGGAAATGAAGGTCAGTTAATTATATTTATATTTTATAAGTTAAAAACCTTGCTTATTAATTATCTCTTTACTAAGAAAGCTACATTAATAAGAGCACTTGTCTAGATTTTCAAGTCAAACAAGAAATTAATTCATAGAGATGTGTTCTTACAAAATTGAATTTATTCAAATGGCAAAATCTTGTCAAATTTAATCATCATTGATCATTATTAAAGTAAAATGCACAAGATTTGTCATACCAACTTTCCTTTCTGAAATTAATATCCAATTATTCAGGTAAAATATACAATACTTTGTTTATAAATATGTAAAGAAGCAGATACAGCAACCTGAAGAGAAGAAGCCTCATTTTTTTTCTCAAAAAGTTTACTTTCATAATCTATAAATTACCCTGAGAAATTGGACAAATGCTACTGTGCTAGCTAAACTAATAGTTGAATTTTACAATAATAATGATTTTAAATTCAAAATTATGTCACTTTCACTTATGATTTTAAGCATTATTTTTTTACAGAATTTTGGTCATTTTTTGGTAAACTTTTCCTTTATCTGTAGGATATTTTCTAGGCAGTACTGTACTGTTCAACTAAGAAACATAGGCTTGAGTTAAAAGGTTTATTTACTTTGAAGAAACTAAATTTTGACTCTTGGTCCCACTTTATTAAAATATAAAATATAAATGGTCAGTATTATTTTTTTTTTTCAGAAAGATTATTTAACTGATTGTATACAGTATGTTTTATTGCATTAATCATTGTTAGAAGTAGTTAAAAAAATCCATTAGGAGTGATCCCATATCCCATTATAAAAATTGCAAACTGAAAGTAAACATCAGCCAGAGCTAATTTATATCATTTCAGCTAGGTTTCTAGATCTAATTTTTACCAATTTTTTGTCTTTTAATTTTTACATTTAATCCTTCTCTGAAAAGTAGGGAAGTATCTCTTCTTAATATTATAATAACATAGTTGTTAATCGACTTTCTTTTATTTTCTTCTTGATTTTTGTAAAATAAACTCCTTTGTATTCATTTTAGTGGGTTTTTATTTTTGACTGGTGGTATCAAGGGGAGATAACCACTTGCACAAATCGGCAAAAAAACCATCGCTTCGTGTTGAACATAACTTGACGTTTGCGTATCCAAAACTGTATTACCTAGATATTCATATCGAGTGTTTTTCTTAATGAGATGCTTTATTAAATTTAAATTCAGCCCATCATTTTTAGTTTCCTCGAAAATATTTAGATTTTTCGATCAGGAGACCAGACAATTTTCACACAAACTTCAAGTTTGAAGATAAAATAAAGAATAAAGGACTTTGAGTTGTTGTGTAAGTTTTGACGAGTTAAAACTATGAATATTCAAGATTATTTTGATCAATAAGTTTTTACAATGACAGTGGTATTTTAGTGTGTAAAAGTGAGGTTTGTCTCATCCGTAGTTTTGCTAAATTTTCACGGTCACGTGACTCTATTGTTGCTGATAGACTTGGGGTCAAACCGTGACCAGCTTTCCAACTGCATTGATACATTCAACCGAACAACAATCCCAACGTTTTGAACGCGTAAAAGTAGTTTTACTAACTATTTCATTTTACTTCATATTCTCAACCCAAAAAACATACAGTCAAGACAAATTGCCGATAAAAAGAATAATGGCATTTTTTTTTTGATACTGGCTTCATCAGCTCGACTACCAGCTCGGCCTATACGGGCTCGCTTAATATTCTTGCTGATAAAGTCATTATCAAAATAAAAAAATGCCATAATTCTATATATATCTAAACGTTTACTATGTGATATTAAATAACTAAATGTTACAGATACATATCACCATTTATGTACATATGCATGAATAGGAGAGTATTACGTATTACTAAATACTATCCAATATATTCCTACAAATAAAAACAACATTACATCATATTTCTTCAACATCATGTTAGAAGATTTATAAACTATGGACAGAACACCATATACGTCGAGGGAAGGACATACTTTTTATTATTATTTTGTTAATAGTTGAGGATTTGGAATTTGTTTACAAAGGTAGTCGAACGCTGTTACTATGTTTATAAAGAAATTAGTATTTAAGGATATATGGATGGACACTTAGTAGTACTTACCTTCGAACCTGACATTTTTGTGGTACATCAAAGCTAGATTAGAAGAGAAATTTGCTAATATCGATAGGCCTTTTTGTTGCTACATGGTATGATTACATTTATTGCACTATATAATAGACAAAGCTGATAAAGGATGGATAGATGACTGTTTAACGTCCAGTGGCAAATTAATTGCTTATCCAGGACGATAACGTATTAATGTAATACGATTATAAACCTTTCTTTGTACTTAACAGGCACGCTTAGCCGGATTTGGCATATGCTTGTTCACAGGCCTACAGGCAGACATGTCACCCTATCGGTAAACATTATTCTGACTCAGAGCCAACCAGTCTTTGCTCTTACTCATAATTAGCGGAGAACCTTCAAATACCCAATTGAAAGTCTGTGGTTTGACCCCGGTTGGAGATCGAACCCAAGACCTCCAGCACTAACCTCACTGGAGGCAATCACATTCCCAACAGACCACCGAGACGGTATCAGTTGATAGAGGTTACTAAATTTGCTTTAGAAGCATCCCGTGTTTTAATTTACATTATAGTTTGGGTGTCCAAATTTTTTACCCTGGGCCCTTGTGATGCACGGTTAACTAAGAAATACTCATCGAACAAGACATACACGTGCATATTTAGTTTTACTTTGATTACATAAAGTATTTAACAAGGGAGACAGCTGAATTGTTGGAGGGTTTTACTCCTGAGAAAATATAGTTATGAAATATATATCTTAAATATGCCTACCTTATTTTCCATTATAAAGTTTAATTATATCAATATCACACATGTGTAGCATAACAACTATACATACAAAACATTAAAGGTTGTTTTATTTTTCTTTGTTTGGTATATAGTTTAAATTTATATTTATAAAAATGTTATATGATAGACACTGTAGTCAAGCTAGAATTCAAAACGAAGATCAAGGAACAATAATTTAAATAAGTTCGTGTCAGTATTACAAAGGTTACTATTAGAACTTTATTTACAATAATTGACGAGGGTTCCATAGGATATATATTATAATAACAAAAAGTGCATATCTACATATATGTGATATACCCGTTCGATGTTCCCTAAATTAAGTCGCAATTAGTCCATGCATACTACAGGCCCAATGTATGACTAGTTTCGTTTCAATTACATTACATACAAATATGTGTAAGCAGTCGTGCTTACAGACTGCACACAACACTTCATTCCATTTCAAATAATATCAATTCAGTTGATATGTTTTTATAAGTTAACTGTTTTTAACATGTTCCTACATTATGATTTACTCAGTAAGCAATTACCGACGCTCTTTGTCTTAATAACTCGTAATATGATACTTTTCTATATCATGATCACAGTAGCCTACCTTGGGTTTTGGTTTTGTAGATTTACTCTCCCCGTTTACTATTTCGGCCATGTTCAATTCATTCTACATGTCAACTATTATAACTATGACAAAATGGGATATCTTTAAATTACACTTGGTAATTTTAGTAGAGAAAACATACGATATTATGTATACCTAATACTTTTAAACTTGCGTTGTATATTTTATTTATTGACAACAGAAATTAAAGTTCTATTAATATTATTTAACAAAGTTCTGTACTGGTGGGATCCCATTAGGTCTTTGGAGTTTATTGCAAAAAATGGCAATATCATAATTTTGATTTTGTCTCCTGTAAATGAAACGACACGATATGATACATTAATTAATGACAACATTTGACGAAATGTATTGCTGATTTTCATTCAAAGTTATAATTTACATCAAACCCCAAATCCCCCCTCTCCCTTCGCTGAGCTTTGAACAAGACATCGCTTGTACAGAAAACCACTGTTCGACCGATTCTGCTAAGTTGATAATCCAGTGCAATAACTTATCGAGGGCAATGTAGGATCCGTAAATTGTAACACCCCCCCCCCCCCCTCTCTCTCTCTCTCTCTCTCTCTCTCTCTCTCTCTCTCTCTCTCTCTCTCTCTCTCATAATTATTACAGCTCTCTCTCTCTCTCTCTCTCTCTCTCTCATGATTATTACAGCTCTCTCTCATAATTATTACAGCTCTCTCTCTCATAATTATTACAGTTCTCTCTCTCTCTCTCTCTCTCTCTCATAATTATTACAGCAGATATGTTATATCTCTCTCTTTCATAATTACTACAGTAGATTTGTAAGCTTTCTCTCTCTCCCTTTCTCTCATAATTTTACTGACTTGTAGACTCACAGTTGTACGATAATATTTATAAGTTGAACGTCGATGTATTATATGGTTAACTAGCCCATTTTGAACCTCGCAAAAATTTAAACCGTCATAATTGATTTTTTAAATGTCTTCTATGTACAGTGGACAATGAAAACAATATGGGCATATATCACAATTCTGATCAATACATAAACCCACAATAACGGTTTAAAGAATAACTAAATTAGATACACTATGGAATGAAATGGACGAAAAAGCGGTGAGTTATTTTTTTATACTGGTCTGGTACCGGGTATGTCGTACCGTATTTGGTTTGGTTTTATATTCTTACTCTCATTACTAAGCCCATGGATGTAAACATGTTCCTGGTTTCCAAATAGAAAATAATTGTTTATATAGCCTTATTATCACCTTGCTATTGCTAATGCCAAACGAATTCAAAAGGGGGAGGGGGAGGGGTAATGACCACCTTATAATTTAATGTGATTTCATATTATATTTAACTAACAAATGTTTACTTACAATAACGGTAAATATATATCAATTCTGATCAATATACAATAATGGTTTGAAAATAACTATTACACTTATAGTTAAGTTGATTTTTACTGCTCTGGTTTGTTGTTTTGCATTCAATACAAAAAGAACATGCATATTGTATCGAAATTAAATTATATTTTAAAAATACCCCTAACCTCCTTACCGAAACGTATGTCAAACAAATTCGAAGTGGGTGATCATCACTTCATAATTGCTGTGATTTCGTATTATGATATCTAACTCCCTAAATATTTACTTACATTCGAGGCTCGTAAGACAGTCCGATCTCGAATACTATTTTTAACAATGACTACTGCATTAGAATTCGACATTGTTTATGATGTTATACAATACTAAAGCTGAAACTGTAATTTAATTAAGAAGGATTAACCATAAGAAATTATGGTGGATTTATTTCATTAATTACCAAGTTAGATTAAACTTTAAGGGTTTATTTTTAAATGCATGAATACATTTATATACAATGCAGGTTCAATATTTTAAAAAATGAAGTATACATGTACCTATATGGTATACATGCACGTGTAATTGTATATCTAGATGCATTAGCAATCTGATATTTTTCATGGCTTTACGAATGCAAAGTCCTCATGGTTTAGGATACTTGTTTTTTTATACAGCTATATATTTTTCAAAGATGTTTGAGCGGGAACAAAATATCAATTTAGAACCTAAAAGCTATTTATTCCCATACCAAATAAATTCGTCATAGATACAAGGATATAAATTGTGTACGCCAGACGCGCGTTTCGTCTACAATAGTCTCATCCGTGAAACCCGAATCAAACAAGTTAAAAAGGCCAAATAAGTACGAAATGTGTCGGGTAATGAGTTGGTAATTTACATTCGAACCTCTCCAAGATCTTGATATTTTTTGGGTTATTTAGTGTCGTTGTTGAAGACCTAGCAGTATCTAAATAATAATAATAATGAAAAAAAAAAAAACTGAAGGTCCTAATAAACCCGTTGCTTTTTAAAGAAAAAATATTTCCAAATGCGACGTACTGTTGCCAGAACTTTAATTGGCAGATTGTTTATTTTATTTATTTCGTAAATTGCCTTCGTGTTGAATATTTTCTAGGATATTTAAATCTGTGGCTCTTAATATGTGTCACACGGTAAAGAACTGAATTTAGGGGGAAAATCATACGTGAGCATCGTGCTTACATATTTTCAAAACTATGCAATATATAGCAAATGACACTCTTCACATGATGCATAACAGTCCTCTGTAGCTCTTGGAATGTTTAAAAAAACCGAGACCGACACTCATTGGCATTACTTTTTGCAATTTCTAAAATGACATATTTTGTTTACGACCAAACATGACGTTTTGTAATATTCATATCTTATTTTATTACAGAAAAGGGTATATTTAAAAATCGTTTTCTTAAAAATTACCGATATAGAGACTGTAGCAGAAAACTATGCAGCTAATGTTTTCATCCAGGCAAGATGGAGAGAGAAGAAGTTAGATGGTAATACAAAGGTAAACTTTTAATACTAATAGTTTCCTCTATTACCAGATTATTGGTGAGATCGTAACACCCATACTACATCCGCATTATAACTGACAAGCTCAGTATACACTAATCGTAACATATTTTGTGTACACACGCTTCTTTGTATACTAGTAAAACTAATCAATAATTAGACATACATTCTAGACTTTATTTAAATACCATTTAGTTGTTTCAAGCATTTTCAAAATTAACGCTTTGATACTTTTCAGTTATCAATTGAAAATTAGATTTATTTTGTTTCAAACTCTAACAAAAACTCTCGACTACGCCTCGGACTTTAAATGTTTATAAAATGTGACCAAATATTGTATTACCTATATTTACATGTAAGCCTCTGTGTGACACCATAAGATTACAAAATATCAGAAAAGACTTATGAGCCTACCTTTGGTTTTCGTTTCCTTTCCCCATTACTATTTGTAGTTTTATATTCTTCAATCTTTACGGTAGCTGCCATTTTGTAGTATTTTCTTGACACAAGGTAACAAGTGAACTTAATTGAACGCATACGGAGTTAATTGTATTTTTAGTCAATTTATTGCATTGTTTGTACCAAATATTGTTTCTACAATAATCAATGATAAAGGATTGCATACCTTTTGTTAATGGGTTAACACTAAATATTGGAATTATAAAAAGCGATAAAATCTATTACTGCTTACAAACATTTGCTTTGTTGAAAAATGTGAAATACATCACCAGGATTCATCATAAAAAACTTTTAATTGTCAGTAACATTAAGGCCTTTGTAATTTTTACTTTCCTGAGTTTTTATTTCGAAGGTTTCCGACGAAAGTGCTTGACTATCCTTCTCACTAGTCGATTTAATTGTTGTCGTTTGTTTAAATACCCTTTTTTGGAATTTCTCCTTTGAGTTTATTTTCCTGTCTAAATGATATAATGTTCTAGTTTAAGTCCTAAAACCCAATGACAATTTTGAATATAAAATAGGGCCACATTGAAGATTTATTGATTTATTTTATATGAAAAAAGCAGAGATTGACTGTATGGCAATGGGACACAATGTCAAAAACATAAGCAGAAAAAAGGAATTATACGATTTACATAATAGACGAGTGTCCATACCGTATCTAGTTCAAAATCGTCCAGAGTCTAGAAATTTATTAATTTTTAACGAAGACTAGTAATTTTGCCATCGCCATCAAATAAAAAGTAACCACTGAATCTTTTTGGGACACAATATGAACAAAACCGTGTGGCGTGCCACTAAACGCATTCGCTTGGTTTGCCTACATTCCTGGTTCTAGTAGTATACATGTAATAATAATAATAATAATAATAAAATTCTTTATTTAACGAAGGTAACACATTTAACAATGACATGTTAATCTTCCATGAGGCCTTCAAAAACTATTAAAACAAAAAAAAATAGAAAAAAAAAATACAAACAAACAAACAAAATAAAATACATAATACAGTTATATATAACATTGATTAAGTACATAATATGCATTCAATAGAAGCAGAAAAATACATTAGATTCGGGCATCTTCATTCTGTACAGATAGAAAATAGTTTGAACATTTGATCTTAAATGTATCTAAATTATCTATTTCTTTAATATTAATTGTACTAGACCGACATGCTGAGTTTTTCAACATGCATATGCTAGTCAAGCTCCAGAGGGAAACGTTAGAAGCAAGCATTCCTAATGTCATTTCTATAATATCATCATTGGTTATTTTTTAAAAAGACAGTTATTTCTTATAAACGTTTATTTGTAATGGCCATGGCGATCTCTCACTTTCACCAACTGACGAATTTACATGATAGGGCATGCAGAACATCCATAACATTTGTCTTGTTTCATATACGTGCAAATAATTAATACACAAGTCTTTCTTTTACATAATAACTTTGCAGGATAAAGTCAACTTTAGCGAGTACTGGAGTCCGAAGCTAGTGGTACAAAATCTAGAGAATAGTGTTTTAAACAATGTATGGAAGGAAGTTACGGTTGATAAAAATAACGAGGCTTACATTGTAGAAAAACGGCGGATTAAAGGAACATTTAGAGAAAGACAAGAATTGCATGATTTCCCTTTTGACTTTCAAGTAAGTTTTATTATGTGAAAAAAATGCATCTCAAAGACACATTTCACTGCAGGAGAACAAATTGCACTTAACACATGTGCACATCTACATTTTTGTACATGTAAACATGTGGTGAAATTTAGT